GGTGGCTGGGTGGGGAGGTCAAGGCGCGGGGCGGGAGTCGAGGCGGGTCGGTGGAGTTAGAGGGGACTTGGGCTCGGAGGCCCGGAGGGACTGGAGGCGGCAGCGCAGCCAGAAGAGATGAGATGCCCCCCCGCCCCTAGAGACCCCTGCCCGGCTGGCGATCCACAACGTGGGGAGAAGAGAAGGGTGGCTCTACCCACGGGGATCCGCTGGGGCGGGGGGGGGTCCCCCCCGGCGGGAGAAGAGGGAAGGCTCGGGCGGCCGGCTGCCTCTCCCCTGGGTGGACTGGCCACTTTTGTGCCGCAACCATCACTTCCGGCTTTTGGAGGCTCCTCGCCGTCTCTTCCTCCCCAGCGCGGGGAAGGTGGGCCGCCGGGGGCGGGCGATGAGTCATACTGACCGCGGCGGTCATCGCCGGCCTTGGCATCGGGTTTTCCCCCGCTGGTTGGTTCCACGAACGTAAATGTCAGCATTGCAAAAGCGACGCTAGGCTTGCTCCCCACGATACGCAGAGGAGCCATTTGGCATCTGGAAAGGCCGGCTTTCCGCAGCCGTCTCTGCCTTATTGATGGGTTGGACTACAGTTCCCAGATGGCGCAGGCAAGCACTGTTTGGGGCCTGGGTTAGCTGAGCTACCGATATGTGAGTCCCAGAAGGGAGCCAAGCTGGGCAAAGCCGCCATAAGCTGGTCTGGCGTAGAAACCTCTTGATCAAGGCAGAACTAGAGAAGGGAGTGGTAAGCTGCTGAGATCAAAGTCATGCAGAAAGTACAAAGAAAGGCAATACTATTGGCACTCATTTAGGAAGCAATAATAGAAGCATCTTGCACTAGTGAGCTAATCGATACATACCTTATTTTGCTTACATTATTGATTGAGGGGATTGAAGCTGACCCAAAGTTGCCTGCTGAGGAGTTTGTTGCAGCAATAATCACAGGAAAGGTGAAATGTTTAGACATTTAGAAAGGGAAAAAACATTTATCTTCCCAACAATATAGGTAGAAAAAGTGTCTTGAATAGTAACTTGAGTCCAAAAGTGTATATTGGATCCAAGTTCAGATTATCCTCAGCCTCCTTCCTACAATAGAAGTTTAGAAGTGGCTGTAATGGAAATGCAGAGAATAAAATTCTAGTAGAGATGTGCAAAAACGAGGAGTAGGTGCAGTCTGAATGAATATCATATAATTCTAAACAGCAATAAAAGAGTTGAGGAACAATAAGCAGTAAAACTAGATATTCACAGCAGGATTTCACATAGGAAATGAGAGGAGGCGTTCTGCATTATTGACTGATGAATGGTAATTATTGTATATTGCAAACGTAAGATGGTTTTGTGCCTAAATCCATGCAATGATGCTATAATTACCAGACACCTTTTGTCTAACTAGAATAGGCAAGCCAGCTTTATTTTTGCTCTTTTTTTGTTGTGCTAAATTGAGAGATTAAAAACTCCCTTCATTTTGCTCATGTGTTGGTAACTACATCCATATGTTTATTTAGTTTTGTTAGCAACATAAGGGAAATAGGTTACCATTGCCTTTTTCCAGGATTTTTTTTTTCTATTTCTCAATATAGTATCCTGTCCTGTATTTTCTCCCATCCAAGTCTAGGAAGGTCTGACTCTCATTAATCTTTTGAGAAATCCAAAGAAGAGCTTGGTGCTGCCATCTGCTTAGGAGAATTACAGGAATTGGTCGTTGTCGACATATTTTTATTACTTTGTTGTAGGGCCTCTCAGAATAACAGAGTTGGAAGGGACTTTGGAGGTCTTCTAGTCCAACCCCTTGCTCAAGCAGAAAACCCTATACCATTTCAGATAAATAGTTGTCCACTCTTTTCTTAAAAACCTCCAGTGTGGCACCCCACAACTTCCAAAGGCAAGACATTCCACTTGTTCTAACAGATCTAACTGTTGGAAAATTTCTTATTTCTGGGTTGGTTCTCTCCTTGATTAGTTTCCATCTGCTGCTTCTTGTTCAGCCTTCAGATGCTTTGGAGAGTAAGTTGAGCCCCTCTTCTTTTGACAGCCCCTTAGATATTGGAACACTGCTATCATGTCCTTCTTCTCATTAAAGTAGACATACCCAATTCCTACAACTATTCTTCATTTGTTTAGCCTCCAGTCCTTTCAATGTTTCCCTTGAAGTATATTGAACATATCTTACATTTTGTTTTGTAATTGTTCTATCATTCTACCGATCATATTCATGTTAAGTAAGTTTTGGGTGCTTACAAGGGTTTAGTAATCAACATTTTCACATGTGTTGCTAGCCATAGAAAGAGCCCAGGGTTTTGTAAGTGCCAGTTGGGACACCAGTTCAGCGGTCGTTGGTGTTTAGTTTGTGGGTATAGCATTAACAGACAGCCACTCTGCTGACAATCATGACACAGTGTCGGTTGCAACCCAGTCATGTCCTATGCTCATGGGGCGTATCCCCAAGTGAGCTGTGTGGTTTTTGAGGCATCATTCCATAGTACGGTGTTGTCTGCTTTTGCAGTTGAATCAAAGGGTGTGAGTTCCTCTTCATGTTGAAGCTTGATTAATTTTTCTGCTAGGCTTCACGGCTGCCTTAGTGGCTAGGGCATTGGGGGTTAACTGACTTTCTTTTTTGCAGGGTGAGGCCTTAGCAAGTGAGATCATGGAGGAAAATGGTGAAGATGTGGCTTCCCTGGGTAAGGATCTCTTCTCTATCATTGCATTATTATTTTCATATTGAATACTAAGATCTGTTTAAAAATTGTTACAACCCTGGTTGTGAAACCCCTCACTGTGACCAGATTACCCCTTCCTTTAGAAAAAAAGTTGTAAGAACTAGACACTGATGCAGTGAGTGTAGCTGAGTGTAGCATTTGCTGTGCTGTGACTGGGTTTTCTTTTTATGGGTTCTTTGGTCTCTTTACATTAAGGAGCGTATTCTCATTTCATTCTGTAATGTAGCCAAAAAACTGGGAACTGGAAAATACGTCTGGGAGGAAAAAACAAATTCTGTGACAATTGTATTTTGAATAAGTTATGAAATATTTAATTGCAAACTGAATGTGAGCCAGCAGTAAGATGTGGCTGCAAAATTAGCAAAGATAGGCTGCTTCAATAGGAGTATACAGGAATTTGGGACGGAAGATCCAGCAGGGGCTGAGAATATGAAGTCTGGTGTTGCTTCCTTTTCCATCTGACTTAATTGTGTTAGGTATAAGTCGATCTGGAGAAATATTTTAGTAGGCTTTCAAGATTCTGCTACTTTATTAGCAGTGAAGATGTTACAAGAGAACTAAGATGTTCTTGTTTCCTGAATAAGCCAGCTCAAAGGGTTAGACCAGGGGTAGGCAACCTTGGCTCTTTTATGACTCGTGGACTTCAACTCCCAGAATTCCTGAACCAGCGTGGCTCAGCTTTGAGACCTCTCCCATTCCCCTCAGCATGGCTGGCTCAGGAATTCTGGGAGTTGAAGTCCACGAGTCATAAAAGAGCCAAGGTTGCCTACCCCTGGGTTAGACAGAAGTAAAAATTCCACTTTTGTATTGGGTCGGTTGGATCCATGTTAAATATTATGTACGCTTCTGGGCAATCCAGTATAAGAACAATGAAGCATTTGGATAATCTCAACACATGAAAAATGTCTTAGGGCTGGGGGGGGGGGGGAGAAAAGATTCCTCAAAGAAGAAAAAGCCACATGAACAGATTGTTGTGCAATCTGTTTAGCGTTCTTAAAGATCCCATCGGCCTCTGCATCTGCACAAAATTAATACAGTTCCAGAATTATAGTTTTTGGATAACCTGTAAGGGCCCATGGGATGTATTAGACCAGATTTACACTAATCTAGGCACTTTTCAAAGGTCTGTTTTTTGTTCTACTAAGATTGCTGCCTTCATCTGGAAAAGTAACCCTGATCTGGGAAATGATTGTTTTGTTGAGAATTTTGCACAGAGCTATAATTAAGAGCAACAACACCCCCCCCCCAAGATGTCATACCCTTAAAATTTTCAGATAGTTGGGCAATTGCTTGCCGTTATATATTGATCCCTGTGGTTCATGGTGTGCCAACATTCAGATAACATTGCCGTCCCTTCTAGTTGTAGTAGAGGTGATGCTTGCTTGACATTGAGAGCAAGGCAGGTTGCTTGTGTATGTGTTTTCAAGGAACTATGTTCATCCGGAGGTTGCATAATTAGTGATTACACTGAACTTCCCATCATTTACGGTTCTGAGGTAATATTCTGATGGTTCTGAGGTAATAGTCTATTTCCAGCACCCTCGCTTGGGCCTGGGTTTTGAGTGCACAGTTTCTTGCCCCAAATTTATCACTTCTGTCGATTTCTGGTTCTGATCCCATTCTTTGATTATGCAGGTATGAGCTTTCCATCTTGGTTTGCCTTGGCCATTAGTTGGCTGGAGTAGAGCCTGAGAATATTGTTTCAAGGACAGCAAAGATGGTCTTTGCTGTGGAATTCTGAGTCTTTTCTGTTGTGTCTAGGACTCTGAGTTATCTTTTGTAAACTAAACACAGTCTGAATTTAGAAATCTGGGTGGCATGGGAAACTGAACTGAATCATTTTTTTTTTTATAGACTTACTGTATTGGGAAAAATTGAAAGAAGCACCATAGAATGCTGTTACCTGGATTCAGTTTGTCAAAACCTGGCCAACTTGTTGAAGTAGTTTCAAGAGTGAAAGTGTTTGCACAAAGCTATTACCCTGCTTAAATATAAAATCTGATGGGAATGCTTAAGCTTTAGGCTGTCCTAAAGGGGAGTCTCAACAGTGTGAAAGAAATAAAACAGCCTGTTTTCAAGATGAAAAGGCCAGGAAGATTCCTCTTGGTTTGATCTCTGCTCCTTGGCTACTATGGTACCCATCTTCCACATCCCTGCCAGATTTTTGCAGTGCCTGCAAGCAGTTAATTCTTCCAATGCAGAAATGAGTATCCTTTTGGATTCATAGTAGTCACCTTTTGGGGAGCCCACGGCTATAGGAGTTGGGCTGCTGATGCAAAACAGGTAGAGTGTAGCATGCAGATGAGAAGGGCAAAGAATTTCCATTTTTCTAGGTTTTGGACTATTCATTGAATTTTAGATTGTACACTATTGTTTCTGTATTTCTTGCCTCAAAGTAATGGGAATGTCCAAAACAATTTTTGGCTCTTGCAGGTAGTTATGATGTGGTGGGGGTGTAGATAGGGGGGAGAGAGAGACAGGTAAAACTGGCTCGAAGATCATTTGAGGCTCCAGGGCCTCAGTTTCCCCACCCTGGCTCTGATGCAGCATTTTGTTTCATTTCATTTGCCTCAGTAAGCTCAAATTATATTGCATTCTTTCCTTCCCTCCCGGGCCTGAAGTTGAATATTTTCCCAGCAAAGAAAATAATAAAACAGAGGTATTTGAGGGAAGAAAAAAGGATTATGTCCTTATTGCTTATTTTAAAAGTAACTCATGAAGGGATAAGTCTTTATCAGTAGGTAAGTGAAAAACAGCTCCTCTGGCATCCATTTCAGAGAGAGTAGCAATTAGAGAATCACACCGAGAAGGATGCTTTTTTAAGGCAGGTCTTGTGGTGATGATGATCATGGCTTTTTCATTTTGATCCCTCTTATTCTTTTCAACCCCTTGGCTTTCTTACCCCTGAGTGCCAATTGGGAACAAAGATGTACCTCCCGTTGTTTTTTTTTCCTTTCTGGGCAAGTGAGATTTATCACAGTGTTTTGGCTAAAGTTCCAGCTAGAAGCTTTTTAGTTTTGCTCCAAGTGGGGAAGTTGTAGATCTTATATTCTTGAGGAGCTATTGGCTGTAGAGAGGGACATGTCTTTTTTATTAGCTAATATTTTCCTGTAGTATGTTTTCAGCTTTATTTAAGCCCTGATCCTTTTTTGTGCAGTCTTGACAAAGGGCTAAACACAGTGATAGTAGCAACTAAGGAGGAGGACAGAGGAAAATGGGTTTACAGGTAGTTTTTGAATTACAATCACAATTAGGACTAGAATTTTGGTCGCTAAGCAATGTGGTCATTAAGCGAGTCATCATGGGACTCGACCCAATTTTACCACCATTTTTATCCTGGCCATTGAGTAAATCATTGCAGCTCTTAAGCAGATCAAGTAGTCAGTAAGTGAACCATGGAGCCATTAAGCAAATTCACCTTCCTCAATTGACCTCGCTCATCTGAAACCTGCTGGAGGACTGTGGGATGCTGTCCACCATGGTAAATGGGAGCCAATTGCCAAGTGCCCAAATTGCAATCATATAACTGAAGGGATGATGTGACAATTGTAACTTTGAATACAGATCGTAAGTCACTTTTTTCCAAGGCTGTCAAACTGTTGTGAAAACAAATGAGCAAGTCAAGGACTACTTGTAGAAAGATTGTCTGTAGAGAAGGCAGATAGGCCCATAGAAGTTTTTTAATTAAAAAAAAGAAGAAAACTAGGATATTTATGTCAATTGTTTATGGCACATAAATGATTGACAAGGGAAATGAAACCTACAGTTGCCCTATCTGAATTTGGGGGCTAGCATGCAAAGTAGTTTCAATCTAGGTTCAGAATCTGTTTTTCTTTTTCTTTTTTTTAAAGCCAAGTTTCCAGTTCTCATGGTTAATGGATACAGAAATTTAGCTTTATTTTTCCATGAATGCACTCCTCTTGCAGTAAAGGCATCTAGAAGTGACTGCCTCTAATTTTGTCTGTTTTTCTTTTCTCCTTGAGCGGCCTATATTTCAACAGATGGCAGCTACACAGGTGAGTAATTGTTGTTTTGCATGCCAATCCATGAAACTAAATCAGCCATGTCTATCAATCTGTTCTGAAACCTTATGATTGGAATATGTTATGCAACAGTGACAAATATTTTCTTAAAAGTATATTTTTGGTCAGGGGCTAGGCTAGTGAAGGTTAAGGAGGGATGGAACCTTAAAACTGCTTCACAAACATTACGCTAGACACGTGCATTGCACTATTGTCGCCTCTTGCGTGTGTGCTTTTTTTCACATGCAGACCCCTGAGTCATTTTCTTGAAGTCGCACGTGCTTTCTTTGCAGGCAACTTGTGAGAACAAAGATGTGAGATGCGTGTCTCTCGTAACATTTGTGTAAGATGCAGTGTGTCAGTGGGGGGGGGATTTGCCAGCAAAACCATAGAGTGCATTGGGCAGAGTGTCCCATCTGTCTCTGTCCGCACTCTATTGTTAGGAGCTTCTTTGGTGCACCCTCCCCACTAGCACTCCTTTTACTGCGCCCAAATCAATTGAAAACATTTCCTGCTACCATTGTAAAATTCCCTGCTGCCAATAAGCACCGTGTCATCTCTGGAGCACACCATGTTGTCTGATACCCTTCCAGAGACCGTGCCCATGCCGAATCACGGCACACTGACGGCTTCCTCGCAGGGCTCTTCCTCTGCCACTAAATCAAGGCGCCAGCCTGTTTGGACTGACGAGGAGACCCGGGCCTTCATCCAGGTGTGGGGTGATGACGCGGTGCAGAGTGCCCTGGCATCAAACTATCGCACAGTTGCACAGTTCCAGTGGATAGCGGATGAAATGCGAGCCCGGGGTTACAACAGGGATTGGGAGCAATGCCGCGAACGTGCAAAAGTCCTTCGACGGGGATTCAAAGAGATAGTGGATGGGAACAGCAACGCTGGCCACGGACGCCGCGTGTGGCCTTATTTCGAAGAACTTAATCGATTTCTTTGCATCAAGCAAAATCTGGTCGTTCCACGGCTTTCAGGGAGCAACCCGAGGCCTCCTGTGGACCGTCGGCGTCGCGAGCACAGAGAAGCGCAAGATGCCTCCTATGAGCCATCCTCAGTAGGCAAGAACGACAAAGGGACTTTTGAAGAGCCAGACGGGGACTGTCTGTTGTTGCCTGAGCCAGCAGCATCTCAGCAGAGCGAAGGCAACATGGAAAACCAAGTGGCATCTCCAGCAGCAAATTCTGATATTTCCATGGATGGTAGTGTTGGTCCTGGCACTCCCACCGATCCTTTGCCATCCAATGACTCAGTTACTGGTGAGTTTTGCTTGGATTTGCCGTGTGTCTTTAAACGGGTTTTGTATAATGTGTTGTTTCACCCCTCTGGATTTCTAAGCACCTTCTTTTCAGTTAGTTTGGATACAAAGGCCAGGTGACTTAATGTCGTATTTGAAATATTTGAAATATCGTCAGCTGTCAGAATTCCTAAGAGAGACTTGAATAGAACTGCCTCATTCAGGGCAGCAGGGTGTGCATTCTCTGCCTAACTCTTCCTCCTACAGATAACAGAATATGATTGCACTAAGCAAATGTTGATATACAGCGGCATAATTTCAATAATACTTCTGAGTTCCAGTTTTTCGCTCTTCCTTTCACATAAACAGGGCAACCTTGGTATAAAACCTGGATTTCTTAGGACAAGGGATATCTTTTTCTAAGCATACCCGCTGACACTGATGTTTGCCTCCACAGTGCGCCATCTTTTTTAAAAAAAATAAATACTCTTTTTGATCTTTGTTCCTGCAGCGCCAAATCTGCGCCCTCGGCCCTTGACCGCTGCAGAGAGGATGCGGAATCTTCGTTGCCGGCAAAGAAAGAGAAGGGGGGATACTTTGAAAGAGCTGATGGAAGTCACCTCCCAGGCTACCAGTGAACTTGTCCGGACATTGTCTGACCTCACCCATAAAGAAGTGGCTTCTTTTGAACGTGCTTACAAGGAGGATCTCGCAGCCCGGAAGGACGAGATGGAGCAGAGCGCTGAGGACATTGGAAGGCTTGTAAGCGCTTTGGAATCAAGCGATCAAACTCTGAAGGAGCAGCTAAGCAGCCAGACCAGTGTACTGCAGGGCATCTTGGAGGTTATGAAAGACATTCGGGGTAGAACGTCATACAGCCCTCCGTATCAATCACAGTATTACGATTTCCCGGGCCCTAGCATGATTCACACAAGTGGTACTTCCTCAAATGGCCAAGAGATGCCATGTCCCTCCCCTTCCAGCCTTCCATTTCCTTCCCAGCAATCTGCCACCAGCAATGGAGATGTCTCTCCCAGGAAGCGGATGAAATGAAGCCATCAGGCAGAACAGCACTGCTGATTTAGCGTCCTGGTGGAAACCAATTCTCCAGTTCTTTGTTCCTGTTAGGACACATATATTGCTTTCCTTACTGCCTTTCTTCTTGCATAGTTAGAACATGTTCTCATCCCCTTACGTGTGTCTCCCCACAACGTTAAGATTGTGGAAACAGCCGCCAGCAAATGTACATCTAGATTTATTATTACTGGGTTTTTTTTAGCGTACCTATGTTAGTTTTCCTTCCATCCTGTTTCCAAGGGAATGCAGTGTTTGATGTACAAGTAATAATTTTTTTAAAACAAAATTACACACTTAAAACACATTACCAGGTACCTGTAAGAAGGTAATCTTTAAAAAGTAATAAAACTGCACTGTTGTTCCAAGTTGTTCAACATGTGTTTAATGATAAAGAGTTTTCTGGCTTTTTAAGGTTGCTGGGCCGGATCAAATTGGTGTGCCGAATTCAGCTTTCTGTCTTTCAAAAACGGCTGCCCAATTTCCACAGAAAGCTTCATACGAAAGTGATGGCGAACCTTTTGAGCTCAATGTATCAAAAATTAAGAAAATGCCTAACTCTGCTGGTGGTTTACACACAAACACGAAAAATTCTTTACATAACCTTTTTTTTTTTTAAAAGGACAGTCCAATCATATATTATGTACAGGTAGTCTTTGACTTACAACCATTCATTTAGCAACTTTTCAAAGTTATGACACTGAAAAAGGAGAAACCAGTCCTCACATTTAAAACCATTGCAGCATCCCCAAGGACACAAGATCGAAATCTGGGTGCTTGGCAACTAGCATGCATTTATAGCAGGGGTCTTCAAACTTGGCCCTTTTATGACTTGTGGACTTCAACTCCCAGAATTCCTCAGCCAGCACTAAAAATTATTTCTATTAGTAATTTTGATTGGAAGTGAAAAGATATCAAACACGCATTTAATTTGATTTAACATCAGTTAATGACGTTTGTTGCTGAGTAGATAAATCTAAAATTGAAGGTAGATATTTTGTGCAGTGCAAACCCAAGCAAGCAGCACTAACTCCATGTCATTCAGTTTCTCTTGTCTGTTTTAATGTTTAATGCCAAGATTAATGTCCTACCAAAGTATGTAGAGGAGAAATTGTGAGTACAGTAAAGCCATTGCTAGATTTTTAAAAGCATTGAAAGTTTCCAGTATTCAATTCTAAGCATTCAAAATGTCTTGTTCTTAGTGGCAATTTTTATTCCTGCAGATGGTTTTTTCCCCCCAGATCCTTAAGTTAAGACTTCAGGTTGACACACACCTACGTCCAAATGCTAACCTGGAATTCTGCTAACTGCAGCTCTAGTCATTCAATTCGTAGCCATTGAAAATCATTTAATTCTATCGTACTGTAGATTACTTCACCCTGAAATTTAATTATTTTAATTGTCTGTTCTAAACTTCTGAACTGATTAAATCTTCCTCCAAAACTGGTGAATTATTGAATATAAAATGTGCAGGTACCATATATGCAAAGATTTCAATTCATTTAGCAGAGCCAATCTAACCGTGAAATGTTATTTCATTCATTGAAAATACTTAACAAGCTTTAGTTCCCCACATCACATTTGAAAATTAGTTTTTTTTTAATGTATCCAAATATAACGTCAGTACTTTTGCCAAAACCTTGTAACTAAGTTCATTTCATTCACATGAGCCGAGAGGTCTGTAAAAACATCCATGTGCTGAGCCATGTACAGTCTGAACTGACGAAACTGTTCAGATTTTTATTCTCAACATATAACTTAATTTCTTCATAGCACCACACAAATCGTTCGAGGACTTTTCCTCAACTCAACCACCTCAAGCTGTGCATCAGCAGTCTGCTGTAAGTTGATTCAACTTCCTGCAATAGTGCAAAAAATTCCGTTTGTGAAAGAATTAAGCAGCTATAAAATTGGCTATTTTTGTTGTCATTACATCATGTAATTCTGTGACTCCTGCTTTGGCACACAACACCTGGTGGATAATGCAATGAAATGACCCATCTGGCTATCCAAAATCCGTAAACAGTTTCACAGATCCATCCTTTTTTCCCACCGTATTGGGTGCCCCATCTGTCATCACAGAAATTACTTTGAGACATAACAAAGCTTAGGTCATGGAGTAGTTTTACAACATTGCATATTTTGTTCCCTGATACATTTATTAGTACTGTTCCTAGCTTTACCAACTCTTCTCTCGTTGTCTGACCAATGGAAGATTTAGCCAATGAACTGACATCAGTAGTTTCAGTAAGAGAAATCGAAAAATATTTATAATTATCTAAAGCCTTTTAATTGATGCCTTTGGAGATCATTGTCTTCTCTCTGTCTTTAATAGTATTTCTGCTAACTGGTAAATCAGACATATATTTAATAACATCACCTTTATTTTGCACATCTTAAAACAATTTTAGAAGAGTTTCTTTAATAAATTTTCCTTCACTGAGGGTCTTTCCATGCTGAGCTACAGAAGGAGCAATGCTGAAACTTGCTGGTGTTAAACTCGTAGGACATCTTAAGAACTTAAGGAACTTAATTTAATTGACACTCTTTGAGGTGCAGCTGCTGAGAAAATGTATCTCTTCCTTTTTTTCTTACTTCTTTCCAAAAGCCAATGATGATTTGTTTCAAAATGTCTTTTTGCATTCCATGACACCATAAGCTGAATGACTTGCCATTTCTGTCAGTAGCGCCACACTTCTCAATCCATTCCTTTTGAAAGCTTCAACCATTTCCTTTTTCACTCCATAATGATTATATTTTGAGGTTTTCCCCATAATGGGGTTAGGACATTAAAGAAATAAAAAGTTTAATATTACAAATTATGGATTTCACAGGAAATGAGAAATATTAACGTGATCAAAACTCTGGCACTTGGCCTTTAGCTTTGTTGAGGATGCAAACTTGTTTTATGGAAAATTTTCCTTTCGTCCTCCAAAGAAGCAAAGCAAGAAAACTTACAAATGACTGTGATTGAGCTCCATCAAAATCAGCCTCCCAAAAAGTTAGTTTCAGGCTATAACTACTTAGAATGTGTTTTTTAATCTTGTGCTCTTTCATACTGGTTATTTTAGGTCAGTGTTTCTCAACCTTGACAATTTTAAGGCATGTGGACTTCAACTCCCAGAATTCCACAGCCAGCAACGCTGGCTGTGGAATTCTGGGAGTTGAAGTCCACATGCCTTAAAATTGTCAAGGTTGAGAAACACTGTTTTAGGTGGATCTGTATGTTGTATGTCTAAAAAGCTAAACAGAATATTTGTGATGTGGGGATGGGGTATCTATTGTTTTCAGAAAGGAAGTTGACACGTCAAAAGATAACATTCCTTTTTTTCCCTTGGCTGTCCTTTTTTAGTCTCATATGCTTTGTAAGGTCAGTCTGGTCTTCTTTCCCTGTGTTGGGGTACTTACATCTCAAGAATTTTAAAAAAGAATTTTAAAAATTGTATTTTTCAGTTAACCGTATAACTCTTGAGGAAAGAATGTTAAAACTGCTGTGATATATACAGTGCATATTGAGTTGCTGTTGCAGATTATCTGTTTCTCTGAAAGTAACTGAGATAGAGCACAGCTGAAAGGATCCTGCCTTAAGTCTCTTCACGTCATTCTACCTGGTTTAGGGAATATTAGTCATTTAGTTACGGTCATTTCACTTTCAATTAAACTTTTAAAAGCAAGTGGTTTTTGTAAACAGCTTGTAAAGAGAGCAAGTGCCTTGGCCCACATTTCTGAAGTATTCATTATTGTTTGAAATGATTAGTTCAGGGGTAGGCTCTTTGATGACTCGTGGACTTCAACTCCCAGAATTCCTGAGCCAGCCAAGCTGAGGGGAAAGGAAGAGGTTTCCATACTGAGCTATGCCGGCTCAGGAATTCTGGGAGTTGAAGTCCCAGGAGTCATAAAAGAGTCAAGGTTGCCTACCCCTGGATTAGTTCAAAAGTGCAGATAGTCCTTAACTTATGACCACAGTTAGGCCCAAAATTTCCATTGCTAAGTGAGACAATGTGCTTATCAGATGGTTGCAAAAACTGATTACCTGACCCTGGGACACCGCAACCATCACAAATATCGGGCAGTTGCAAGTGTCCAAATCTTGATCACATGAATGTGGGGATGCTGCAACAGTAATAAGTTTGAAAAATGATCATAAGTCACTTTTCAATGCCATTGTAATTTAGGTCACTAAATGAATGGTTGCAAGTCAAGGACTACCTGTATTCATTATTGTTTGAAATGGTATAATACTTTGTGAAATAAACATTCTTTCCGAGCCCCAGGTATCTCTCAGGGAAACAAAAAAATGCCTGTGCAAGGCAGCTCCAGGTTCCAAGAGGCCTTCACTCCGGAAACTTTGAAAAATGCTCCTGCAAGGGCATGCAGCCTCCGAAAAATACTGGAAAGTATATGTGCTTTTTGGAAGCTCCAGAGGCCGCTTGAGAGCCTAGCCCTCTGGTAGGACTTCCAAAAAATTCGAAGGCCCAAGGGCACCCCACGTTCCCATGTGGCTTCTGCAGCCTCAGAAAACAGGAAAAAGGAGGCGTGCTGGCATGTCACTGAAAATAACATGGCTCATCCCCCGTGACATGCATGTCAATTTCACCATCATTGGTATATAGGAGGTGTTGCAGAGGTCAATCATTAAAGACATATCACAGCGCAAAATCAAATGGCATGTTAGGCCCGTGTTCTTTGCTTCATGCTTTTATTGCACTTGAACAATGAGGTTGATTGCAGTGAGGGGAATTTTGCAATGTATCGCTGGAGGTGACAAAATGCTATTTCAATGTTTTAAAGTGAAACAAAACTGACCCCTCCCCCAGATTGCTGAGAAGGGTAATGTTTTCTCCTTGATGGACTAATTTGCAGGAGTAGAAAAACAGCCTGGTTCAGATCTGATTCCCTGCCATCTGAAGTGATACAGTCTCTTCTAGAACTGTGCCTCCTCTTGTCCCAAAGATCCATTTTCACGGGGCAACTGGACTTTCTTGTTTTTCCTTCTTGGCTGAAGCAAGCTTCTTGGATGAGAAGCGAAACGTCTTCAAAGAAAAACGAAGTCCAGTTGCCTTGTGAAAAAAACGTCTTTGGGATAACTATGACCTGAATGACTGAGTATCTCCATAGACACGTGCCTCCTTTTGCTATGATCAAACTGGAGACAACCAAGGTTCTCAGCACTTTAAAGGCTAACCGAAGGATCCTGGTTAATGGATTCACTTCATTAGAGGCAGAGAGTAAAAATGGGTAGGAATTTCCCAGGAATACTGCGCTGCATGAATTGAATGGCAATCTGTAAAAGTGTATGTGATGGGGAAAACCTGCTGTGAGTGTTTTAAGACGTTACTGGAGCCTGCACCGTTTCTCCTACTAAAGATTAAGATAAACTACCTCTGTGGAAACA